CGGCCCTGCGCGCCCTCCCAGCCCGCCGCAGCCCTGCCCGGCGCTCGGCTGGCCCGGGGCGGCAAGCCGGGCGCCGGGAAACCCGAGCCGGGAGCTAGAATGGATGCCTGGCGCACAGTTCCCTCAATTCAGATTATCCGAAATTGTGAGTCACGCCCCCCTGGGCAAACCCGGTCTCCAGTTAGGGTGACTTTTATTTATTTTTTTTTTTTAAGATAAATTCCCGTCTGCCTCCCAACTCACCCCATCTCGGTTTGCTGACGTTGCTGATTTTTTTGGTCCTAGTTCCAACAGTATATTTGTTTTACATTATTTTCTTAGTGTCGTTTTTAATATTAAGAAAAGATCTGAAATGTCATTTTATATTAGTTCATATTACAAGTAGTGATTGCGCTGACCTTATTTTTCTTTTTTTCTTTTTTTTTTTTTCTTTTTACTTTGCACACATAAACACACTTCGGTTATAGAGCCCGTTTCAAGCTTGAGGGATTTGCCAAGAAAAAAATCTAGGAAGAAATGAGCTTGTGCTGTGTCTGCATTTTTCTTACTTACACATTGTATTCCCCGTGTGTTCCTGTGATTCTTGCATATGATCATCACATGTGGGAGAGGAAAGAAAAAATATTAGCAAAGAGGAAGAGATGACTGATAAGAGAGCTCCGGCTTTCCGCTGGCTTAATATTTGAGAGTTAATTTACAGGGCAGTAAAGATTAAACCACTGGGGGTTTTAAACTAATTTTTCAGAAAATTCACTAGCCGTCTGTTCGTTATAAAGTGAAGGTCTCCCCCTTTGCTAAGTGCTGTGGTGTGGAGTTGGAATCTTCCTTATAAGGTGTCTAACTCAGCATCCTTCCTTTTGATGATGATCTACCTTTAAGCCAAATAAAACCCAAAGGATTAATTTGAAATGGGTATGATTTATTTATTTGCTTGCTTCATTCACTTAAAAAAAATCACTAATTTGGAACCTGCCAGGTCTACTGGCTCTGTGGATGATGCAAAGATAATCTTACCCTTAAAGAACTTAGAATCTAGTAGGGTAGATAAGGCATGTAAACAAGTAAGTATATGCAAGATCCAAGATAAATGCCATAAGAACAGATCAGATGCTCTCAAGAGTCTGGCTACAGAGAGGGAGGCAGGGGTTTCTTTTAACTGATAATTCTACAGAGGCTTAAAGTTGCTTATCACTCCCAGTAACCTGTTTGAGTTTCATCCTTGAAAATGGATAAATAAAGCCACGTTAGAGTGTTTGAGGATCTTGTCACTTAAAATGATGTAAGCATAAAACACTTTATAAACCGTGAAATGCAGCACAAGTATTCATTTATTTAGCTCAAATTTTTTGAAAAATGCAGATATATATTTTGGGTCCTGTGATTTCTGGGTTTAGTCAAGCTTCCCCTTGAGCTGTAGGGGATGGGACATGAAGGACAACAGATGCCTTCTGCAAGGGGAGGTGATTTGTAGGGCACATCAGACACCGTGGCTTATGGCAAGTTACCTGGAGACCTGTGTATTATGTTTCTAGCCCTTCTCCCCTCAGGCAGAGACCGATACTCTTGGTGGTTGGTGAGCAAAAGAGGCCAAAGAAATTCCTGTTGATGGACTGACCAACAGGCCTCAGGCTGGCCCTGATCCCCTTCTCCCATCCCTCTTAACCAGAGGGCTATATTTCAACAGAGCAGACAGTGTGATCTTCCTTCACATCCCGAGACACTAGATGGAGGACGGTGGGAACTGGATGTTGATGGGCCTGCAAGGACAGTGCTCAGTGGGGTTTCATCTGCCTCCTCCCAAAATGGCTACAGAGCAATTGGAGAAGTGATAGAAAGGAGGCCCTAGGTCTACTGTTAACCTAAGCCGGATTGCCCCCCACTATCACCATAGAACAGTGAAAATTAAGGAAAACTGAATTGATGTCACTGTAGGAGAGAAAGCCCTTGACTTAAGAGGAAATTATGATATGAGTAGTGTATATATAGAGTATATAAAGATATCTGTATATATATGTAATATATACATATGACTCACATAGATATTGTTCATATACAGGAAACTGATTCTAATATGAGAGTCTAAAAGAAAACAGTCACTACTAAACTTTGTGCAAGAGCATGTAAACGCATTTTCTCTGTAAGCAGCAGACACAGGGTAGGTAGGGGGAATGCACAATGTAAAAAATCAAGACACTCCATCAGTTTTACCCTTGATGTTGACTGTAAATAAAGCCCACACAGAAGCACTTTAAAAAGGTGGAAAGGTTAGGAAATTTCCCTTTTCTTATTTTTTCAGATTAAAAAAGTATACATCTGTAGCTTGTATTTAATAGAACTGGAATATTTGCTGACAATTGTTACTGAATTCTTCAGTCAAATATCTAGTACTTGTGCAAGTTGTCAAAGTTTTATCACATAAAAAATCTTTTGGAATAGAATTAAAGAAACAAAAATAATAATATCACATGAAACTTTTCATGAATAAATAGCACAAAGGCAGAGCTCCTCACAATTTAGTGAATTTAAGAATCCCTGGGGAAGACAGGCTCAGTGGCTCAGCCTGTAATCCTGCACCTTTGGGAGGCTAAGGTGAGTGGATTGCCTGAGCCCGCAGGTTCGAGACCCGCCTGGGCAGCGAGACCTCATTTCTACAATAAATAAATAAAAAATTCAGCCAGTCGTGGTAGCGCGTGCCTGTAATTCCGGCTACTCGGAAGGCTGAGGCGGAAGGATCGCTGGAGCCCAGCAGGTGAGGCTGCGGTGGCCGGGAGCGGCCACTGCACTCCAATCTGGGCGACCAAGTGAGACTCCAACTCAAAAAAAAAAAAGAATCCCTGGGGAACATCTTTTAAATTCAGATTTCCTGCCATTCCCCAGAAATTCTGATTTAGTAGGTCAGATAGAGCCCATGAAGCCGCAGTTTTAACATGTAACTCAGAAGGTTTAGGTTAGAATGACTGGGGTACCACACTTTGCTCCACTGTGCCCT